AAACAGGGGTCACAGATTGGCATCCTGGGCATTGCTTGCAGTGCCTCTCCACCATGCTGTTCATGTTGGGCCACCATACTTTGCTTCGGAGACCATCCTTCATTGTCACGATCCCTTGGTGACCCTAGTGAGCTAAATTAAGCATCTATTCATGCAAATTTGCGGAAACAAAAATCTGCATACTTTTCATCACTAATCTTCCAATCATAATACTTTCATCACGCAACAGTCTGTGCGAATTAGGAGTAGTACACCAGTCTCCTGTCTTCCAACAGCGATGCACTTCTGTTGTTCCTTATCCTCAGCAGAAGCTCTCTCTATTTGACGGGTAATCATCGCGCCAGGTGTTATATCGACTGTTATCATTCCAATATATTCTTTGGTTGAACCATCACAAGGAGAGGGTGGTACCTTCATCACACGACTTAGAGAATCGGCTACATTCTGGCCTGAAGATTCATGACGTACAGAGTAAAATGCCGTCTTATGGCATTGTAGAGATTTGCTTTGCCTTCGGCACGATAAGTGAGTCCTCGCAGCCAAACACGCCATCGCTCACTCAATTCCGATTTTGAGCACCTATTATCCATCGGCTGAATACCACCAAAGAGATGAATTCCACTTATGAGATGATTTCTACAATCTTCGTTGGCAATTAAATGTTTCTACTACATACAAGTCCTCGATACAAGTGGAAAATCCTCAGAGAAACAAGAACACGTTTCAGTCCGCCATCTTTATTTCTCGCTCGCCTATAATGTCTAGGGTTGCGCTTGCGCAGGCAACCCAGTTACAATCACTAAAAATACCCCCACCGATGCAGCACCACGCAACTCTTCCCTCAGGGGATTCCAGTAAAATGTAAAACAGAGGCCGTACATACATACATACATTTCATTACTTGGATTTGTATTTACAATTTTTCATGCGCCCACAGCTAGCTTGAGTGCTATTCTAGGTGGGTCGCATGTTAGACGTAAAAACTATTACATAGGCGTTCACAAATAACTTGTATAT